ATTCAAAACTAAGCAAGAATTGAGTAGTCAAGGGATTGACAAAGCATGGGGGCCACAAGTGCGGATACAATCTCAATATGAGAAAGATGCTAAAATGTATAGTTTTTATAAAGAATTAACAGAATTTGATCGGATATTGATGGGGCGGATGAAAAATTAATAAAGAAAATATATAGCTATTTATCAAGTATCAAAATGGAAGGTGAGCATGAAAAGGAGACAATGATAGTATGGCTAAAAATTTTGGTTATACAATAGAGTTAGATAATGGCAGAAATTGGGGATAGGAATGATAAATTAATGATATCAACTGCATATTAAAAAAATCTTTATAAAATGTTTTATAGATGGCATTTTTCACACACAAGGTTGGCAAAGATGTTTAAGGGCATGTCTGCTAAATGTTGGAAATGTCATCTGATACCTGGTTCGTATTATCATAAGTGGTATGACATGCCCAAAAGCAAAAAAAAAAAAATTGGACAAAAATACACACATGGTTGGAAAAAACGATACAGCAACATATAGATTTAAAACCAGAAATATTTTTGTTGGGCATTTTACTGGATAAGTATAACAAGGGGAATACATATTTGCTTTTATATGTATTAACTGCAGCTAAAATTTTATTTGCATAATAATGGAAAAGTGAAGAGATCCCTACAGATGAAAATGTGATTTAAAAAATATTAGGATGTGTAGAAATGGATAGACTAACACTTACAATTAAGGAAAAGGAAGAAATTGAATACTTTCTGACATGGGACTTATTTTATCCATGGCTAGCTAATAAAAACAGAAGTTAGAAACATGTAGATAAAAGAAAAGGACTAATGATACAAGGGAGATTTGTTAAAATGGATAAGCAAATAATGTTGTTCTTCTTGTTGTTGTTATAAAACTAATACCAATGTAATGAATATTACATTTACCAATGTAAACCCTTTATTATTTCCTAAAAATATTTGTACCCAGACAACACACAATTTAACTAAAAAATTTTATGTAATAATTTTTTTTATTTTATATATATATATATATATATATATATATATATATATATATATATATATAAATGTGTGCAAAACTGTCTTGAACGTGCAGGCAATTTAAGAATCATTTAATTATTAAATTTTTCAGATCCTTAGCATCAATGTACAGGACAGAAACAATATTATAAAAACTATAGGTAACAGGAAAGATCTGACACAGAAGCTGCCACTGCAGTAATGAGAAGCTTTGCTCCAATTCTTCTACAGTCCAGGAAAAGGATTCCCTGTTTAGTTTCTAGGAAGGTATTGACTACTGACTTAATCAAGGTATAAGGCCACACTTCAGTGGTAGATTTATTCACTAGGATTAGCTGGGCCAAGAACAGTCCAAGTAGGCTAATTTTAGTCAATGTTTCAATCAGTAGGACCTCATATGGCATTTTACAGACACAAGGCAAAATTCCAGCACATCAAGGAACATGCACTGTAGCTCATACAATATAGACTAAGCTGCTTCCAATATATTGTGTTTATAAACAAGTGCTGTGTATCCTCAGCAGAATGGCACAACTGACATATTTTAGATGATTTGGGTCATTTGCATAAATACACAAATTATGTTGATTATATTAATAATGTAAATTTGGATTTGACAGAAATTTCACCACTCTGCTAAACTGAGTTTCACTGCATGTGTTTTGTTTTGTTGTCTTTTTATTGAATTAATCTCCTTGCTGACCTGAGGACACATATCTTCAGGAAAATGATCAAGCAAAGTACTCAGACATCATCATGGCAATTACCACTTTAGCATTATTCTGTGAAGCTTTTGCGTAACTGAATTTTTGATCAAGGACCAATTCAGCTAAAACCTCAATCAAGGACCAATTCAGCTAAAAGATTACATTGCATTAACATACCCTTCAGCCCTTACCCCAAGAGTACATTCTATGTTTTCACTAAAATGAAGGAGACCAACATGTACTAAAATATGAGGTGATGTAATATTTGGCCATTGAAGGAACTTAAAATCTACTTAATGGAAAAGGTTGTTGCCAAGATGTTTTAGCAATATAAACCTCTCCAGAATATTAAAAAACAAAGCACGTCTATCTCCATAATTCAAGATGTTGGTCATCACCTTTAAAGCCCTTCATATCATGGAACCAGGTTATCTAAGGAAAATCTAAGGAACTTGCTCCAGCAATAAAATAATTTTGGCTAACAGGATCCAAAAGGGCCTCCTCTGCCATGTCCCTGGCTCCCTGTAACATCTTGCAACTGGAGGCCTATCTCCACCCGCCTGGCCTTCCAGAAGAGTTTTAAAACCTGGGTCTGTGGTTGTTGGCTTGGGATGCCAAATGGGGAGCACTATGCTGGAAGTGGTTAGTTGAGTCAGAGGCAAAAGCCTGCCTCTGCAACATCTGTACTTTTGGTTTTTAACCTTTGTTTAAAGATCTTTAATTTTAATGCTTTTATATTTATGCTTTTATGTTGTTGTAAGTTACCCAGAATCACTTTGGATAATGATATCAACAGCATATACATTTAATAAATAAATACACAAATAACAACACTCTAGATACAAGATTTACAAGTGTAGCTTTTCTGTTCTTGCTTCTCCAAACTTGGTGCCTTCTAAATGTACACTTTAGACTGTGTGTACTCCAACCTGAAACAGCATACAGAGCAATCCCCCTCCCCCACCTGGGTACATCCGACCATATCTCACTCCTGTTATGCCCAAAGTATGTCCCTCTCAACGAAAGAGCTCAGCCAGCCATGAAAATGGTAAAAACTTGGCCAGAGGGCACTCTCACTCATCTGCAGCACTGTTTTGAAACCACTGAGTGGAGTTTATTTGAACATCAAGATCTGCATGAATATACTGATGCAATACTCTCTTACATCAAAGTGTGCACTGACAGCATAACAGCAGACAGGTGCATCAGAGTCTATGGGAATTATAAACCCTGGATGACTGCCAAGGTACGGATGCTTCTGAGACCCTGGAATTCTGTCTTTAAGGCAGGGGACAGTGAGAGATAGAGAGAGGCCAGGGCAAACCTCAGAAGAGGCATTAAGATGGCAGAACAATAATATAAACACAAGGTGGAGAACCATCTAGCAGACAACAACCCGAAGCAAGTGTGGCAGAGACTACAGCACCTAATTAATTATAACGGCAATACGAGGAACACGGTCAATGCTGACGCCTCGTTGGTAGAGGAGTTCAACATCTTCTTTGCCTGTTATGAGGTGAAAAGGCCAGATCCCGTAGCCGCTGCCCGCTGATCTTCGGATTCCCAGCCACTCACCCTCTACAAACACCAAGTGAGAGCTGTATTGAAGGCTGTGAATCCTTGCAAAGCTGCAGGCCCAGATGGGGTGCTGGGGATAGTGGTAAAGAATTGTGCTAATCAATTAGCAGGGGTCCTAACAAGGATCTTTACTATCTCCCTGCAAACGGCCTATGTTCCATCATGCTTGAAAGCAGCCACTATTTTCCCAGTCCCAAAGAAAACAGCAATTAACTGCTTAAATGACTACAGACCTATAGCATTAACGTCTGTAGTGATGAAATGTTTCAAGACATTGGTTCTTCAACACCTTAGGATATGCCTCCCACCGGACTTCGACAAATATCAATTTGCCTAGAGGGGGAATAGGCAAATGATGCCATAGCTACTGCTTTACATTCTGTAGCGAGCCATCTGGAGAAACCTGGGAACTATGTCAGGATGTTTTTCATAGACTATAGCTCGGCCTTCAACACCATTCTGCCGAGCATCCTTATTGAAAAGCTGACTGACTTGGATTTTCCCTCTTCCACCTGTGACTGGATCAAAGACTTTCTGAGGGACCAGTCACAAAGAGTGAGGGTTGGGTCTGTCATATCCACCCCCCTGAAGTTTAGCACTGGCTCCCCACAGGGCTGTGTGCTCAGTCCCTACCTGTACTCACTGTACACACGATTGTGTACTGTCAGACCCATCTACTATGATCATTAAATTCACAGATGACACCACTATATTGGGTCTTATTCAGGTGGAGACAAAACAGCGAATAGGGGGGAGGTTCAAAAACTGTCCACATGGTGCTTAAAAAACAACCTGCACCTGAACATCAGCAAGACCAAGGAGATGGTGTTGGACTTCCGGAGGAAAAGAGAGGAACCTGCCCCACTTTACATTGGGGAGGGCTGTGTAGAGAGTTTCCTCCTTTAAATTCTTGGGAGTCCATCTCAGCGAAGACTTCACCTGGAAAAACAACATGATCCTGGTAGTCAGGAAGGCCCACTAGAGACTCCATTTCCTTAGGGTCTTGCGGAAAAACAGGGTGAAACAACAACTGATGACTTCCTTTTACCGGTCCACAATAGAAAGCGTCCTCACTTATTGCATCACAGTATGGCATGCTGGTCTGACAACCGCAGATAGAAAAACATTATAGAGGGTTGTGAGTACAGCACAAAACATCATGGGCTGTCCCCTGATACCACTAAATGAGATCGCTAGGCTCATTGCCTTAGAAGAGTGAGGAAAATTCTCAGGGGCGACTTTCACCCTGGTCATCACTTCTTTACCCTCCTACCATCAGGAAGGAGATATAGAAGTACAGCCAGCTGCACAAACAGGCTGAAGAACAGTTTTTATCCGTGGGCTGTCAGACTTCTGAATGAGAAATAACATCATAACTATGTAGTATGATGGACTGCAGGGCCGGCGCAATGTGTAACATGTTCACACTGGTGCAATAGGACTGGGTATTTTGTTAATATGATTTATTGGGTTAGGGATTTTCTGTCTTCACTGTGAGTTGTATTGTGTTGCGGGGGGGTGCACTGAGGTAGCTCAACCAATCTCATTGTACATATGTTGTGCACTGACAATAAAGATTTGCTAAATTCTAAGAGAAGTGACTGGGAAATCTGGAAATTGTAACTCCAGTACATGATAGCTACAGGTGAAAAACAATCTTTTCATTATTTACTACTATAGACAATACCTGTTGAAAAGTGAGATCAGAATCTTCCATTATATACTGTTTTCTAATAGAGTAGAACATGGCACATTCTTTACTAAGACTATCAAAACATTGCTTTTCTTCATCCCAGTTTACCTGGTAAAAAAATGAATAAAATGTATAGTTCTAGATTTAGTAAAATAGTCGGTTACAAAGACAAGTTATTCATGAATAAATAATATTTTAGTTTTAACCTTTTAGTGGGGGTGATGGTCGTTATATGACAGCTAGAAACTGAAACACTCCATTCTGATTTTTTAAAATCTAATTTTTATTAGTTGTTTAAGTTACATTTGTATATATCTATGTAATGTTAAATTTCATAATGTATCTTTCATACACAGGCTAAATTGAGAATATATAAAAGATTTGGGGGGGGGGATTAAAAATCACCTATTTGCAGTTTCTACTTCCCATGAACGAAGATATTCTGAGAATGAAGCAAGCCAGCCAGTATGGCATATTGGTTAAAGAGTTGGACTAGGACTCAGGAGACCCAGATTCAAGTCTATTCTCAAGCTACCACACAGGGTTCTTGTGGAGAAAAAAATTGAAGAATGGACTATGTCCATTGCCTTAAGGAAAGGCAAAATATAAGTTAAACAAACTGTCAACTCATAAAGCTTTCCAGGCCTGCTTTCTGGTTGCCATAAGCAGGAGTGGGGAGAACTGACAGAGTTGCTCGGCTGCCTTGACTGAAAGCAAATTCCACACATGCCTTTCTCAGATTGTATCTCAGGTTATGGAGCAAGCAGGAGGGGTGGGATTTCTACAGCAAGCAGGAGGGATGGGGTTTCTACAGCTCGGGAAGGTAATCCAGTGGAGAATGTGATTTATGACAAGCACAGGAAGGAGGGGGAAAAAACAGGGTCATAGGGGAATGTAAATTTATATGAAGGCAGAGATGACTCCATATGGGTAATTGCCAAGATGTTGCACCTAATAAATGAGTGGATTTCTTTTGAACTTTGGCTCGAGGCTCATGAATTAATTAGGGCATCTTTTGGAAACTACAAACAATCCTATCCTTTATAGAGATAAATTGCAGAAGATTGTAGTGATTGTAGTTATGCTTTTAAAATGGAATGTATATTAATGAAACTATGCTTGATAGAGATTTGGCAACCCATTGTAATTTAAGAAGTTGGATAAATGGTTGGAAAAAAGCTATTAAGGTCTTCCATAACTTAAGTCTTTCACAGAACTGGTAATATTAAAATAAATTATAATCAGTTAGGCCTCAGTTCAGAGACATCTTTTTAGAGCACCTTTTTGCTATTTTTTCTCATGCTGAATATTAAGAAATAAAAATGACCTGTTTAATCATGACTGCATATGGCTTGAAAAATAGTAATTTGTGCTGAATGTCAACGTACCTCTGTGGCCAAACGAAGGATAAACATAGGTAGCCCTTCCAGTGGAGGAACATAATTATCTATCAGAAGCGGCAATCCGATAAGATTTCCTTCCTGTAAACAGAAAACCATATTTTCACTATCCCATTCCATAAAGTCATTTGTTTCAAATGACTGCAAATAATATTAATAACATGTATGAAGATACTAAATATAAAAGAACAAGTGTTGCATATATACAAACCCACTGTAGGCTATTTCTATTAGATCAATTAAAATGCCAGATTATGAACATATTTCTATTACATTTCAGCAGGTTAATTTATAACTTGCATGCCATCAATTTCTTTATTTACCACTAAATTTCAGCACCACTACTACCAATACTGAATATTGGCAGCAAGTTACTTTATATTTTTTTATTTCATACATATAGTCTTTGCATAGTTTGCCTACTATCATCATTTATCATTACATTTGAGCACTTTTGCTACTGAATATTGGCAGCAGGGCACTGGGTGATTGATTTTATTTATATGTATATATTTCATAAATATGGTCCTTGTTTTGCGACTGCCTTGTATAGCAACTGCTTACAGTTATGATGATCATGAAAAAGTATCTTTGTAACCAATCCTTGCATTTATAACCTTTTCACATCGATAAAGCAAAGCAAGGCTAAAGTAAGATCATAAGCACAGTTGTGTAATCACTTTGCTTAACAACAAAATTGCCAATTCCAATAGTCATTAGGCAAGACTACATGTACTGGAATTACTAAAGCAAATAAATTGGGTATATTCCTAATAATCATGAATTCGTTGTTTAGAAGCCAAATGCTATTATATACATCAATTTCAAGGGAGAAATAGTCTTTTAGCATTTCACTCTTCTTTGATAGGAAGTCAACAATATATTCAGCAAGGCCTTCCTTTGGACCATCTTCTTCTGTCCAACCACTTTCAGCATTCTCCAAGGCCAACATAGCCAGATCAAAGAGAGGAGCTGCTTCCTAGATGCACAGAAGAAACATAAAACATTATTCTTTATGAAAACAATATACTATCTAGAAGCATCCAAAAGACAGACAGTCTGAGAACATTTCTTTATATGAATTATATAAAGATGGGGTATGAAAATTATTAACTGCATGTCACCCCCCCCAGAGATTAAATACTGTGGAAGGCTGCAGTAATACACTTCCATGATTTAATTGGAATATAATTTATCAATCCTGAACAGGGCCGAGGTGGCGCAGTGGTTAGAGTGCAGTACTGCAGCTACTTCATCTGACTGCTAGTTCAGCAGATCAAATCTCTCAGCCTTCCATCCTTCCGAGGTGGGTAAAATGAGGACCCAGATTGTTGGGGGCAATATGCTAATGCTAATGCAATATGCTAATATGCTATATGCTAACTTTGTAAACAGCTTAGAGAGGGCTGTAAAGCACTATGAAGCGGTATAGAAGTCTAAATAAAAATTTTTTTTAAAAAAAACCACTCCAGAGACCACACAGCTAAATATAAATAATAATCAATACACATAACAAGTATGTAAAAAATAAATTATAAAAATAAATTTGACAATTAAACCACACATTGGCTCTTAAAAGATATGTATATTCGTACAAAATGTTCTACCGATGGCACCTCCCATCGGTGCGCCTGGCAAAAATGTTCCCAAATACATCTCCAATGTGCTGGAAATGTACATCATAAAAGGGGACATACTATCATCTCTGGTGGTCATGCCAAAAGACGAAACAATATTGGCAAGAAATTAAGAAAATGATTGAAGAAATTATAAAACAGAAGTTGGAAATGAGACCGGAAATCTTTTTATTGGGAATAATTACAGCACAATATACCAAAGAAATAAAATACTTAATTATTCATATATTAACAGCAGCACGCATACTGATTACTATTTAGTGGCAAAGATGGTATAGCTGGCTGGAGGAAAAGATGGGAACATAAAAATAACTTTGAGTACCTAATAGGAAATGTAAAGAAGTAAACAAAGAGCGGATTATAATGTTCTATATATAAATAGGTAGATATGTAAATATAGATATGCATAGAAAAAGAAAAGAAAAATAGAAAAATAACCCACCGATGTGATAGCTTTAAGAGTCAGTCGTAAGACTGAATCGGTTTGTTTGTTTTGTATGTTGCTTTAATGTATTTATGTTTGTTTGTATTTTTAATCAATAAAAATATTAAAATTTTAAAATAAAATAAAAAAAGATATGTATATTCGGGTCATGTGGATTTCTGGGAGTAACATCTTCTACAAGGATGGAACAGCAACAAACATCTTCTTTTCAACTCTACTTTTAATTTATCAAGCATCTACCAAGGACCCACTAATAGATTAAGAATTTGATTGAACTTGCTACCTATGAATGGAATCTGGTAGACAAAGATTCTGTATGGATGAATGAACTTAAATAGAGGACTCATTTATGCGAAACACAATAGATTAAAAATGATTGTTATATAAATGTATGAGAAATGTATATGCATTTGAATAATAACTGCATTGAATAAATCTATATATAGAATTGTAGCTATTGTTAAAGTGACATACAGTATTATACCTTTCCCTTGTTGTACAGATAGTCCTCACCACCAAAATTGAGCCCAAAATTTCCATTTTGCATTGCTTAGCAATGGAAGTTAATGGAAGTCCATTGCTAAGTTAAGTGAGTTTTACTCCATTTTCTGATATTTTTTTCCACAGTTGTTAAGTGAATTACTGCAGTAGTTAAGTGAATCATGGGGTTGTTAAGCAAATATTTTGAGCATGGGGATGCTGAAATGGTCATAAGCATGAAAACCGTCTTAAGTCTGTGTTGTTGTAATTTTGAATGGTCCCTAAATGAATGTGTCAATTTTGAATCAAACCTGGCAGAAGCCATTTTTCTATTCCTCAATTATCACACAAAGTGGAGAGAGGGAAGGAGATTGTGCCAGGACCAAAGCTTCCCAAACCAAAGATGTATTCCATGACCCCAAGGGATATGAAAGAGTTAAGAGAATACACTGACAAAAACCTAGCCAGAGGTTTCATCCAGCTAGCAAAATCCCACCTGGCAGTCCCTGGGTTGTTCAAGGAAAAGAAAGATGGGACAATGAGATTATGCATGGATTTTAGAAGTATAAATAGCATGTGCATGGAGAACATGTATCCCCTTCCTTATGAAGGACATGCTGGCTCACCCACTCACTTCCAGTTGACGTCATGGCGAGATCAGACATGGAAAGCGGGTCTCCACATCTCTGTGCTGAGTTCTCCCCATTGGTGGGATCTGAAAGGAGCCAAAGCCGCCTTGGAGGGGCAGTGAAGCAAACAGGGATGCCCTGCGAGGTCTCAGAGAGTCGCAGCTCTCCTGCTTAACCCAGGATTAACTTTCCCTCTCAGCCACGATGAGAAGAGAAATCTTAAAATGGCTACCACGAAGCTGGGACAACTAATGACCATCTAAGCTTTGAGCTGGAGCGGATTTTGGTAAACGGTGTGGAACTGGATGAGAGGATTTTTTTTTTACCCAAAAGTTAACTCCAAAAGAGAAATTTAGGATTTACTCAGAACTATCTGTTAGAATAGAATTCTTTATTGGCCAAGTGTGATTGGACACACAAGGAATTTGTCCTTGGTGCATATGCTCTCAGGGTACATAAAAAGCAGATACATTTGTCAAGGATCATAAAGTATTAAAGCGGCAATCAAATACTTTGAGAAAATGATCAGGCTGGAAGGAAAGGATTAAAGAGAGAAAAAAAATTGTTCAAAACATAGGAAATTGAACTCTCAAATTGGGAAGACATGACATTGGGAAGGCAGTTTAAAATACTGGAATTATGGATTTAAAAAAATTAACACTGCTTCTATAATTGAATTACAATTTAAAATAATTAAAACCAGATTTGTAGTAATAATATTGAAAATTAACCTGAGAGTGCTACCTGCTGGTGAAAGGAAAATATACAAGCCTGGGAATACCCATTTAAAGGACTCTGAAAATATTTCTGGACTATATACATTTACCCTATGACCACTGGAGATTTAAATGTGAGAACAAGGAAGACACTTAATTAAAGTGATCTCTGAATGTTAAATTATAGGACTGAATCTATAAAGATGACTTAAAGAGGCTTGCATAACTCCCTGGATTATGTAAATAGAACTGACTGACAACTTATGGAACATAAAGAACTGTGATTAGTGTATACTTTGAAGAGTAACCTCAGGTTTGAACAAATAGTTCTTGGGCTATTGGCAAAAGTGAAATTTATTAAAACAAGATAAGATGCAACATAAGGAGGTAATGAGTGGAACTTGGAATGAGAACGAGATGGACTGGATGTTTCAAAGCATAAAGGATATGATACAGAAAGAACATAAGGCAATTATGGAATTAATGGATGGCATAGATAAAAAATTGGAAAATATTATATAAAGGACAATGAGTAATGACCAAGATGCCCAGGAAAGGACATCTTTTGTATTAGGTCTTCAGACCTGCCAAAGGAGCTACCAGAGCTACCAGAAGGAACAGAGGGAAAAACAGAATTGAGGAATCAACAAAAAGAAGATAACAAGGAGTCATCAATAAATTTAATAATGTTTGATTAATCAAACCAGGGGAAAAATATTTTAAGAGATCTGAAAAGAGAATGGAAGGAGCAGGAAGATACTTGGGGAAGGGAGACAGGGGTCCAGGCTGATAATTTTAAAGCTAGACAGTGGAAGGGAGAAATACTTAGATTGACTAGGTAGGATGTAGACACAGATACAAATGAGAAAGATTTAAGAGAAAAATATGGGAGGCAAGTCAAAAAAAGAATAAGAATTAAAGTATTGATGCGGACAAGAGATGATGAATAGAAGGCGGATAGGAAAAAAATAAAGATTTTTAAATTTTTCTTTCCTTTTTTTATAAGGGTGGCAGGAGGAGAAATTAGAACAGAGATAGGAATGTGCAATAAGAGATTGAGGGATTACTTGTATATATATCTTTACATGATGAAAAAAAAGTAATAATAAAATGGGAAAATTAGAGACTGAAAGATGGTATTACTAAGTAAGCTTAAATAATATTGTGATTGGTAAACATTGAGCAATTAAATAACAAAAAGAACATATTTTAATGTTGCATTAAAATAATGTCGGGTATCTTGCATACATTTTATTTTAATTCTGGCCCTTTTCCCATTCCAAATAAATTTTGTTGTTATTTTAGTGAGGTCCTTAAAGAAATTCTTTCCTGGCCAGATTGGGGCTACTTGGAAAAGGTAGAGTAATCTAGGGAGTATGTTCATTTTTATGGATGCAATTTTCCCTAGGAATGACAGTTGTAATTTATTCCACGTTTCCAGGTCTTTTCTAATTTGTTTCATTAATTTATTGTAATTGTCTTCTCTGATTGTTATTGCTTTGGCAGTAAGCCAGATTCCTAAATACTTTATTCTCTTTACAATTTGTATTCCTAATTTGTCTTCTAGTTGTATCTCTTGTACCTTTGTCAAGTTCTTTGTTAATACTTTAGTTTTTTGTTTGTTAATTTTAAGCCCTGCAACTCTTCCATATTCCTCTATCCTCGCTAAAAGTTTGGCTCCTGTTGTTTCCGGTTGCTCCATTATAAACACCACGTCATCAGCAAAGGCTTGCAATTTGTACTCCTCTTTCCGTATTCTCAAACCTTTTATTTCGGGGTCTTTCCTGACTTCATTTAATAATATTTCCAAAGAGATTATGAACAATAGTGGGGATAAGGGGCAGCCTTGTCTCACTCCTTTTTGTATATCTAGGTTTTCAGTCATATCTCCGTTGATCATAATTTTGGCCGTTTGGTGGGAATATATTTTTCTAATCATTTGTAAAAATTTAGCGCCAAAGTCCATAATTTCTAATTGCGATATGAGGAAGTTCCAGTTTAAATTATCAAAGGCCTTTTGTGCGTCTAGGAAAAGTAGGGCTGCTTGTTTATCGTTTCTTTTCTCGTAATGT